TAGGGATTACAAATACAACTTATATAATCTATAAATAAGAGTTTCTATAAGATGAATGACAATAGAGTTTTATTATTGAATAATATAGAGAACATTAAATTTATTGTTTGTCATATTTAAAGAAACTTATGATTTTAAGCGATTGGAATCATTTGAGAAGCAAGTCTCATGTTAGTTATAAATAGTAAGCATGACTTATAGGTAATCCTTAGGCAGTTAATGCTAACTGTTCACCTGTAAATCTCGTCGACAAATGTCGCAATCAAAGACTATATTGTAATGAACAAGAACATAAGTAGGGACAATGCAATGAATTTGTATACAAACTAACAGAATATCTTATTAAAATCTGAGAACCATACAGTAAATACTTAATTTGCAAAATGCTAATCAATTGTCTCAAACATGAATGCTTTTTGCAAATATCAGTCAATCGTCTCAAACTTCATTGTTCCTGCATTTCCATATCAATTACTTTTCGTTCCCGTTCTTTTCTTTTCCATCTTCTTACTCTTCTGCTGCCAGACATTCTATTCCTGACTAGCGTTGTATAGTACTTATGTTGATATAAGTAGCACACACCACAATATAATCAAACCAGTTCCGTTTTGATCGACTTGAAATGTTTATTATAATTGACCACTGTTCATTAATGAATAGTTCAGTGTTAATTTCTTTGACTGTTATGATGAGTGACAAATGTTCGATTCTCATGAGTAGTATCAGTATCCTTCAAGATTGTTCTTAAATCTTTCTGATAAATACTAATTTGGAAGAAGTCTGGATTCAAGGTATCTTAATGACTGATTAAAACGCACGAATACCGAAATATAGTTCAATCGATGTAAAGCCACGTAAAATCGTTTTGTTGATCACAACATAATGTATGAAAAAATTTATGGTTATCATGGGCCTTACAAATATGATATTGGTTACCAATCAATTCGGTATCATCGAGTTCTCTGGACAGGATTCTTTAGATATAAGCTTCCACTGTTTCTATGAGCAACATCTTCAGCATGTACTTCCTATTGAACTGAGAGTCTTAATTATTCTATATACATCCGATCAGTTCGCCCAGATGGTCGTGTTTGTGGTTTGTTCTCTTTATTTGTCTTTGCAATCAAGTTGATTGCCTGACCAATTTGAGTGAGATTACGAAAAGTGTCAATAAGAAAAACATTTCACTATCACTGATAGTTTTACAATATGCTTGCTAACGTTTTCAAAATTAATTCAATTAGTTTTTTAAGTTTTAGATTTAGTTAAGCCACCATTAAAATCCAGTTAGCACCAGACAATTGTTCCATCATGGTGTGGGTCTCTACAGTAATGTACATCCACAACACAACCAGATATCAAACCCATAATCTCTAGGTTTCATGGTTAGTGCTCAACCAACAGCATTGCTACGAAACAGTTTAAATTTTTAACTTCATTCAGTTCATGATATTACATGTCTGTTATCCATTATCATTGGAGAGGTGTCTAAATCGAGATGTGGCTGAACTTTAATGGTAACGGCTTCGGTTTAACACTCCTAGAATTATCTTTTGAAGTTAGTTGAATAATCATTACAACATCAAACCGTTTCAGTCTAATTAGTTGATCATTAATTTATCGCAGACGATGGAAAATGAAGTATGATACTTTTGTTAAAAACCAATGAAGAGAAATCTGTAAATAAACATTTTTTTCAGTTATATACAAGAAAAGACAGTGTTCAATATGTTGATTCCCCTTTGATATATCTCATAGAAACTCTTCAACGGACAAAAAAACCGTTGAAAATATTTCTACAATTCAGAGTTCTCAAGCACCTTACAGTAGAATTCTAGAAGGCTATGGATAAGATTTTGCTAGGTTTGAAGTTATCACGAGTTCACATAATCTGCGAACGAGAAGAAAAGACTCGGTGACCAAAGACCAGTAAGCTAGCTATTAATGCGTCCCAGCCCCTCTATCTAGAGGGAGAAGTGCAAGCATAGAATGGGAAGTATACTCTGCAACAGCCAGAAACCGAGCGAGCGCCACAAACACAATTTAAGACATATATATACAAATATATATGATCTATATTGCCATGGAGCTTTTAAACATTTAATCGATAAGTTCGTCAATCGACTATGTGCGTGAGTGGTAAGAAATGCCCACGCATACAGTTGCATACAAGCTCTACAAAGATAAAATTGCAAAATATGAGTTTTGGGGATCTATCGTCCCCAACAGATTTACATTATCCTGGCTTGAAAACTACAGATCTTTTTACTAATATTAGTATGTTTTGAAAAGCTTCTAGATACTCATGGTCATGTATTATCTTGTGAATACCTTTTCTTCTTGAACGAAACCAACAATGAACGTGAAGTACCTTCCCTAATTTCAACCATTTGTTAATGAAGTTAACTATCCTGAATAACAATTAAATTTTGTATGAATTCAAGTATACGGCATACACTGTATCTAACCTTAAATAATAATATAATTCCATATATATCGACACTAAATTTTATACACTTATTATCTTATTGAAACTAACTTACTAGTACATGATAAATACGCAATCCAAGTATGAATCTCTTCAGCGATACGAATAAAGGTTATTTATTATTTCTATATAACTATACCATTACTTACTTACGCCTGTTACTCCTAACGGAGCATAGGTCGACGACCAGAATTCTCCAACCCACTCTGTCCTCAGCCTTCCTTTCTAGTTCCATCCAATTCTTGCTCATTCTTTTCATGTCTATCTCCATTTCCCGGCATAGTGTGTTCTTTGGTCTTCCTCTCTTTCTTTGACCTTGAGAAATCCATATGAGGGCTTGTCTTGTGACGCAGTTGGATGCTTAGCTCAGTATGTGTCCTATCCACATCCAGCTCTTCTTCCTGATTTCTCCGTCCGTTGGGACCTAGTTTGTTCTCTCACACAGTAGGTTGTTGTTGATAGTGTCTGGTCAACGGATCCAAGACAACTGTTAATAAACACTTGTATCTTTTGGATGATGGCTTTGGTAGTTCTCCACGTTTCCGCCCTATACAGTTGAACTGTTTTGACATTTGTATTGAAAATTCTGTACTTAGTGTTGGTTGACGATCGTTTTGAGTTCCAGATGTTCTTCAGTTGTAAATATGCTACTCATGCTTTGCCAATTCGCTCCTTCACATCTCCATCAGATCCACCGTGTTCATCAATGATGCTACCCAGATATGTAACGGTTTTTACATCTTCCACATATTTTATGTGACCTTCTCCAACTCTGACTATGGTTTCTCAAAAGTGCTTAAATCAAATTACAATGTTAGCGAAATGTTGAATTATCCATTTCGAAATGACATTTTACATTAGTGATAGTAATAATAATATTAATATCTCTTTGAATTCGATTCGCATCGATGAATGTCAACAAGATCTGGTCGTCACTACAGTTTGATGCGTTACTATTGTATGATGCCTATTTTCTATCATATCACATGATCAAAATTATAAGTATATGATCAATGAATTTTATTTCATCATTATCATACACTGGATAGTAATTACATTCCGTTTATGAACTGAACTACTTAAATAATCATAAGTAGAATAATTTTCTAAATGTACTTAAATTATAATCAACATCGAAAAATCACTAACATCATTTTTATCTTGATCAAATTTATCTGATCAGCACATTTTAGATAGTTCAATTTGTTTTCATACCAAACAAATGGTTATATACTACATTGATCGCTTTCTATGGTACTGAATCCAGTTCTGAGACGTATGGCTTACGTACTATAACCGACTTAATATTTTTCCAGTATCAATATAATGGTTAGTTTTTAGATTCAAGGATCATTTGCTCTGTAGTAGATTTTAGAACAAGAAATAAAAGCTTGTGACTTCAGGCAATATTGAGACATTCCGCACAGGATGTACATATTACCAACAAGAGAATGATCAATTTCAGTCTTAAATAACAATGAGAAGATACAAGTAAAACAACATTAAGTGAAAGAAAAAATATAAAGTTTGCTAGTTCCATAATTTAGTGAAATGATAAATATTACTGTAATAGTTCAAAAAGAGAACCATCTAAGGAGTTTACCATACGATCAATGGTTATATCCCAATGAGAATAATGAATGGTAACTTTTGGGATTCATTTATGGACCAATACTATACCTGTTTTTTACCGCATATTTGTTAGATGACTAAACTATTCGTACTCGTGTTCCTCTTATGATAAGCTTTATTTTGACCCACAGACTATTATGATAAGATTTACCATTCTTGAGTTATACACAGTCTATCAATTACTACCTCCCACATTCACCGCCACATTTGGCTAAATCTTGTTCAAATGTTGATTTCTATTTTATGGTACTATGTGGTCTGTCTGATTAGTATATAAACCCAGTATGCTTCAAATAAATGATTCATATTACAGAGGCTGAAGTTAGTGTTCTGGACTTAACAGTCAAGACTAGGCACGAAACATGATCATTGAAGACTCTAGACTGCTCGTACAGGTTTTATGCATCATTGATCCGGTTGATAAATCAGTATTCTCTATTTGGCGTTATCTTTACGTTATATATTAACAGGGCACACAGGTCACGCGTTATGACAACAACAACGAAGTAAAAATAACTATATATTTGAAGACAAACAAAACACTTTACAACTTGCCATAAAGTTCCAATATATATCACTATTGAGTGATTTATATTGATTTGATAAATGAAAAAAAGTGTTGTGTTTTTTTTCCAAAAACCTAAATTTTAACTCATCTATAAGTAAGTGAATGATTGATTTCTTGACTGAACAGTATCTATGATATAGAATATAGTGATCATTATTGTTAACATTTCAAAATGACCGGGGGTAATATGATGTAAACAAAGACAATGAAATATATATATATGAGATATTATTGTTCAATTATCTTCAGAAATAGATTACAGTTTAAGTTGATATGGAATTTTGAATCTGCATATATCTATTTTATTTTTTATTACCAACGATATTCATCTTTCCTAATTGAATCTTGTTTAAGGTATTGTTTTTCACTATCCGTTAAATCGATTTGCATGAAAGGCTGTAGACCAATTGCTTCTAAGTAACTAGGTAAATACTGACCTGAAAATGGTGTATCATTATTAATCTGTGAACGACATTCTGGTCGTAATAATTTTGGTATTGCTCTAACATGAAGTCTTACACAATTATCTTCTGTTCGACGATTTTGCATAAGTTCAACTGCTTTACGTAAATCTTTTGTATTAGTCAATACACAATGATGAAATCCATCTGAAGATATATACATAAAGAACATTTAGTCTTTAATTTATAGAAAACAGAATAAAATACAGACAAATAAAAAATACAAACTGTACTAAACAGTAACTATTCGTAAATATACATTAATATCTGTGATCCACGTATAATAGTATTATTATTATTTGAATACATAGATATTGGTACAAGAAGGCACCAAATACATATGCGCCGCACAAATCTCATTTGATTTGTGTGAGAGCTGTGATACTGCCCGGGTACCCAGACAAAAGCAGGTGGTTTTCTTAGGGGTCCACACCCGGAGTCTTCGACCTGAAGGTCTGATCCACAAGGCAGTGGAGTATTGTAAGGAGATGCAGTCCCATGGTAGCCGGTGATCAACGATTGGTTCATACACCATTTGTTCCTTCAGGATCATGGACCCAGCCCATGTGCACCATTGGTTTGGAATCAGGGTTTTCCAACTCCCCTAGGTGTACTCTCCATCTACACCAACCCGTTTAAAGCACCGGATATTCGCTCTTCGTCCTCCCAATTTCGTAAACAACACCACCGCCACGAGAGGGCAGTGAGTAGGACTTCCCTGGCAGAAGCTATATACGCGTGGTCATTTGAGAGCATTTCGAGGGGAAGAGCGGACTGTCCCCACTCTCGGCCGTACCAGGGCATTTGGGGGCACGTATGTTGGAGAAGTTAGCTGCCGTCAATGAAACTGACTATAAAGGTTTAGAAATTCTTAGCTGATCTCAACAGAATTATACAACTGAGATTCAATCAAATTTATCATTCTTCACCTGATTAATTGTATTTGATTGTCTGAATCTAAGTTTTGTGCTTAAGAAATAATAACATTTCCATATATTGATCCAAATATTGTTTTACTCTGTTATTCATATAACGGTATAGCAAATCACGTGCAATTGACTATGTTCACATTTAATTCAATTCAGTCATTTTGTTAACTTATTAACGAACTGAGTCATCTGTACAGCAACAACAACTTATCTATGTCATTGTATTTTTATTATTGTTGCGAATGTGTGAACAGGTATGCTTAAACATTGCTTATTGCCTAAGTATATATTCACTATGTTAGCCTTACTATTAATTGCTTAATTGATTCATTGATTTATTCATTTCACTATATACATATATATCCATGTTATTCATGTTCATTGCTCTCTCTCGCTTATCTGTACTCGCTTACTCGTACTCGTATTCGCCGACTTACTCGCTCACTCGTTTGTCTGCTTGCATTTTCGGTACATCTCTTTCATGCTTGCTTAACGCACCTGTAATTTTGGATATCTGTGTGTGGTCCCATAATAAATGTAATCAACACTTCGTATTCGCCTTCTGATTAATATACCGTTGGGACGTTATCTAGTGACGGTTATCAAGATGAACTGTTTGTGAAGTTTAAGGATTATATTGAATACCGACCACCACAACGGCGTTCATATAAAATATACGTTCTCTTGAATACTGTGATCATAAAGGTTTATAAAATACAACGTAAACGATCTGTGTAATATCTGTAAGGGGAGCCATCTTGTTTGAAATCCATTAGATGATCATATTTGGAAATTTTAGATGAAACGGCTTGAAATAGACGAATAAAGTATGGTTACATACACTTTTTATGTTTCTCTATACAGCTTGAGCTCAATGTTTTATACCAACTGTCATTTCTTATGCTTACTATTCTACTACAATAAATATCATATTTTCTTCTATCGTACTTCGTATTTTTCACCTTTGCTTTAAGGTATACCTATCGGGATCAATATAAGTTTATGTCAGATTCTATGCCAAAGTGTTTTTTTTCAAGTAGAACCAACACAGTATAAGGTACTCATTTTATTCAATAGTTATTATTAAAAGGTTTCCAGAATTTCAAATCACTTTTCAATTTATAATTGTTTAAATTTGTCAAATTTAATTCGACTCATGAATTCAACTAATACAATTGCTATAATCTTCACAAAAACCTCTATTCTAATAATAATCATTATCATATGTTCACTAGTGGTTAGCTTCAAGATAAATTTCCTGGAATTCTAGTGAGACACTATAACCAGTGGAGTTCAATCTGTGTCAGGTAAAGGCAGGAATCTACCTTAAACAATTAATGAGCTGTTGCACAAGACAATCATAATAATAATAATGAGTGATATTTTAGCGAACAGAACACGTGTGGGGACAATCGAATGTATTTCACTCACCCTTACAGAACTTGTTAATAAAATCTAACAATCAAATAGTAAATGTTTAATTTGCAAAATGTCCATCAATTGTCTCCAAATGGCTCAGACTTCATTGTTCTTGCATTTTCATACCAATTGCATTCTGTTCCCATTCTTTACTGTTCGATCCTGTTATCTCTCTGCTGTCAGACATTCTGTTCATGGCTAACATCATATACTACTTATGTCGATATAAGTAGCACACATCACAATAGTAATAATAATAATAATAATCAGAAAATATCATTCAATCCAACTTATATATATATTTAAATTAGCAAAAAATCTATCAATAATAATACTTACCATACCATGTCATTTCAAATCCTGAATATTTTTTAGAAGTTACACAATGTAATTTATCAATTACTTTATCCCAATCTAAATGACGTACTGATATAGGTGTCATCCATCGATAAACTATATGATCATGATTAATAGGATCTTGTATAAAAAATTTCACAGATAATATTGGTTTCTTTGAATTAGACATTAAAAAAGTGTTTTCTTTGTTTGTTTTTTTTAAGTAGTTTTTATTTTAATCAATGGACTTGGCAACTATTTTGTTAAGATTCAATAATTTAGAAGAAGACGAACAAGGACAAGATGAAGAAATAAAGAAAGCAAGAAAAGGTACTTTGGTGAGATGTAATTCTAATTAGTATATTACTAATATTGATTTAATTTATGCAAATTATTCTAATGATAAATAGATCAACTTATTCAAATCATATTTATATATTAAAATGAAAACAAAGGAAACACATTAATTTGATTGGTTAATTCATAAAATAACATTACACAATAGTATTGGTTACGGTGTTAACTTTTTTTTGTTTGTTTATGAAATAGATAAAACATGTGATTAAAAGAATCGTGAAATTACTTAATATAAATGAGTAATATATACATATATATTCGTAACAGAATATGTCACTGAATTTTGTGGATGAATTGACGTTAGACATTAATCAATATATGCTCATTAGTGACTAGTTTCAACAGGTATTCCCTGAAGTTCTAGTGAGAAGAAGTGACCAGTGGAGTTCAACTGGGTCTGTTGTGAGATAGTAACCCACTGATGACAATTGTGGAGGTGTCACTCAATTTTGTGGATTAGTTGAAGTTAGACATTAACACCAATGGATGCTGACCGGCTTAGTGGTCTACTGGTTAAACTGATAGGTCCTGGATCCGAATCCCGATAGGCGGGGTCATGAATGCGCAGTGCTGAGGAGTCCCACAATAGGATGAAACGGCTATCCAGTGCTTCTAGGCTTTCTATGGTGGTCTAGATTTCATTGACTCATGATCTCAACTATTAATACATATTATACATTAAATAATTTATCTATACATCAATTATGAATGACAGTGTTATATTCTTTGTAATATTTAATAGATTTGATCATTAGCTAAAGATTGAGTGTAAGAAAAATGTTGAATTTTTTTTAATGAATTTGATTGTGAGTGTTCAATTAAAAATTGATTATTATGGTTAACGATTATTTTTAGAAAGATTGTTTTCTTCGAGATTAAGTTGCTGACATCATACCATACCCTTCTACTTTAGTTGGATATGTGACCGGCAGTAATCCTAAAAGAGCTACAGGATGAAATCACGAAGCAAACGCTAACTTGGTATCCTGAAGGGAAATGAAGAAAAGGAATGCCAAACAACACACTAAGTAGGGAATTAGAAGCAGATTTCAAAAGGATGAATTGCCACTGGTAAAAACTGGACAGAGTTGGATGAAGAATGTTGGTAGGTGGCCTATGCTCCTCGACGACTAATAACAGGCGTAAATAAGTAAGTAGAGTTCAATTAAAAAGAAAAAAAGCAGACTTAAGTAATATATTCGAGTTCACTGGAAATATTGGGACAAAAAATAAATCGTGGTGTTTATACTACCATCAAATCATTCGATATGAAAGTGTGATTAACTTCAAAGAATAATTTACAATCCTTCCTCTTACTACAATCTCCATAAATCTTCATACTAATGATATTTTAAATGATTATTATGAAAAGATGAAGCTTAAACAAGTAACTGATAAAATGATAAACTGTTCAAAGTATGTCGATGAGACATTCATTGTATGTAACAGTAAACAGAGTTCAAACTATCTGTTATGAATTTTTAACAAGATTCATGACAACATACAGCTTACCATGAAACAGGAAAATAAACATGTTCCACTTTCTTGACACTGATGAGTAGACGGTACAAATTAACATTCGGCTTTGGAATGGAATACTGCAGCAATTTGGAAGACTATTCCAGTCTCTCACATTGTACGAGCATTCTATGTACCTAAATAAATGGTTGCTCTGGTTGTCAGAAGGGGCATCAGCCTCGCGACTTCTGAAGGAACTTGGCTTTCATCACGAGGAGTCATAGCTCCTCTAAATGAAGACCTTCTGACTCCAAGGGCAGAGTTTAAATAGTTTAAATAATTTTTTCTGGTTAGCGTTATTTAGCGATTTAGTTTTCTAAAAGATGAGGTCGCTACCCACATGCCCAATCCTTCTCCTTTATCCGGGCTTGGGACTGGCAGTAGCCCCCGGAGGGGCTACAGGAAAAGTTGGGATGGAATACTAGAAACTGAATATTATTTTTTCAATCAACTGCAAAAAAGAATTCATCAATGATATCTACCATTAAGAAAATAAAAGGATAATTGATTGACTTTGAAAAGATCACAAAGAGAAAACCGCTACCCATAAGACTTTATTGATAAATATGGAAAAACTAAAGACAATAAATTGAATGTAGCTATAATCAGTAAAAAACTAATATTTATCCATCTAAAGTTTTAAATTGTGTGTTTTGAGAACAGTTGTTAGAAAGGTTTTTGTGGAGATTACAGTAATTTCAATGGTTGAGATCATGAGTCAATGGAAGCTAGACGACCATGGAAAACCTGGAAGCACTGGACAGCCGTTTCGTCCTAGTATGGGACTACCCAGCAGTGCGCATCCACGATCCCGCCCCGTGCAAGATTCAAACCCAGGACCTATCAGTTTCGGGCCAGGCGCTTAACCAATGAACCACAGAGCCGGCATCCAATGGTGTTAATGTCTAACTTCAACCAATCTACGAAGTTGCGCCACCGTCACTATTGTCTTCAGTGAGCTGATATCGTTGATACACACTGCTGAGGAGTCCCACGATAGGACGAAACGGCCTTCCAGTGCTTCCAGGCTGTCTATGGTGGTCCAGCTTCAATTCACTCATGAATTCAACTATTGAACTTAATAAAATCTCCACAAAACCCCTTCTGATAAAACAAAAAATTGTTTTTTTTTCGTTTACAGAAATCCTTTTTTGATAAATAAACAAAATTAAATTAACCATAAGAAGAATTGGAGCTATTCACATGTGATATTTTGATGTCAATGAACATTGTACATTGAAAGCTTCAATCAAACTATAATATTGATGAATGATCGAAGTATTCATTTCAAATATACAATATATTCAATGATGATAGTAATAATCATCATATGGCTTCTTCTTCTTTATTAAATTCAGTTTATATTAAAGGAATATTCAAATGATTTGATTAGAATACAGGTCAGATCATGTTTTCTTGTCAGATCATATGATAAATATAATGATTATGTTATTAGATGAATTTCAACTGAATTCATCTTTATATGAAATGACAATTCTTTATTGAAATGACCTACTTAAACATTTATAAGTAGTATATTTATTTTCAATTATTGTACAAGGAAATAATCTTCATGTGATTATCAGTTAAACAATTGAACTATAGCCATTTTATGATCAGTAACATGCAAGAAATACTGATTATAAATCACCAACCATTTATATGTTATGTGTAATCTATCTACCAGACATACTTGGAAGAAGAACCAACATCCATAACCAATAGCTTGTCAAATTTATTATAAACAAGATACTTAAAGAAAAATACATTCGTATAGATAAAGATGTTGTTAGATGTTCCCATTATCCTTTTATTCTGTGCAAATATTTAATATAAAAGCCATTTCATTACGATGGCTTAGGGATAATGAATGTCTTAACCTAAGTTAGTGATTTAACCCTAAGTGATAAATAGATTATATATACACAATAATCCAGTTACCCAGTAATTATAAAACACAACTATAATTAATAATAATTCGAAAAATCAGTTCCAGTAATATTTGTTCTGCTATAACATTAATTGACATAAATAGTAGAGCCCTTAGACATCAGAATATAATACATGTCTATTTTGATTTCATAAAGAACGTCTCAGGAAGTGACATCCATTCTTTTACACAAGACCAACTCATAATTCTTCGTATCTTACAGTGATTATGATCATTTTGGACTACTATTTTGGAATCCAGTTGTTCATGTTCCCAACCTGAATCAATCACATTATTTTTGATTGACATCATGAATCGACTGATGTTAGACCACCGTTGAAAACCTGGAAGCACTGGACGGTCGTTTCGTCCTAGTATGGGACTGCTCATCAGTGCGCATCCACAATCCCGCACGTGGGATTCGAACCCAGGGCCTTCAGTCTCGTGCGCGAAGGCTTAACCTATTAGACCATTGAGCCGGCATCCAATGGTGTTAGTGTCTAACATCAACCAATCCACGAAATCGCGCGACCATCTTCCATTGTACTGAGGTAGATACCCGTCCCTGAGGAGTCCCATACTAGGACGAACCGGCCGTCCAGTGCTTCCAGGTTTCCAACAGTGGTCTAAAATCAGTCGATTCATGATCTCAATCAAAAACTTAATAATCTCCACAACTCCAATACTGATAATCACATGATTGTAAAATGATTTCGGACAAAATGATCAATATATTATCGTTTTTGTTTATGATTTAGATTATTCCAGTAATTGAATGCAATTGAAATAGCGTTGGGTTTGATCTATTTTTTCAAGTTTCTGATGTGCACTAATGAAGAATCTCAAGTTAGAATGAATTAGATAATCTGTACACCTTGTCTTTTATTAAATTTCCAGAGATATATCAATCTGTAATGATAGAATCCATTTCCAATATACACCAGTCTCAAAACCTTATCATTAAATACGAATATGTGATGTATGAAAATGAATAAGTAATTTAATCAATACATTTTTCAAATGAAATCGGGCATGGGGTTAGCGACGCCAACCCGTAGAAAACTAACTTGCAAAAAAAAAACACCAACTAGAAAGTAAGTTCTATGATAAATTTAATTTTGCATAATTATCAAATTAAACTTATCAATAATGAAGTTACTCTAACCTGAACTATATTTTTAATCCGAATGGATTATCAGTACAAGGTTGTGGAGATTGTTGATTTTTAATTAAGATCGTGAATGAATCAATGTTAGACTACCATTGGAAACCTGGAAGCATTGGATGGCCGTTTCGTCCTAGTATAGGACTACTCAGTAGTGCGCATCTACAATCCAGTACGAAGGACTCGAACCTAGAACTTTCGGTCTCGCATGTGAACGCATGACCTGTATACCACTGAACCAGCATCCAACGGTGTTAATGTCTAACTTCAACCAATCCACGATATTATGAAACTATCCAGAATTGTATTCAGTGAGTAAATGCTTTACACTTGAGACGGTCGAACTCTACTAGTCATGACTTCTCACTAAAACTTCGAGAATCACCTCTCGATGCTGATCACTAGTGAGCATATAATAATTATCAGTGCCACAGTTGGGCACCGGCCCAGTGATACATAGGTTAAGCGTTCACGCGAGAGACCAAAAGTTTTGCGTAGTCCCGTTCAGTGCTTCCAGGTTTACAATGGTGGTCTAACATTAATCCATTCATGATCTGAATCTAAATGGATTAATTTGATAAAATGACAAAATAAGGTTCTAAATTAACTGTCTGCTATTTATTCTTAGGAATGTCTAGTAAGCTTTATTTTTATTTAATCTGTGTAGGCTATCTTAGCTAATACTATAAATTTTTATATATAAAGATATATTGGTGAGACTATAATTTTTGGACGACCGTTGAGCGACGCTAGACTGACCTTGAGAATGCCCACCTACTAAGTAGGACTAAATGAGGATTATAAACCTGTGTGAGGAATTAGAAATATAATTTACATTTGATGGTTAAGGTTAGAAATTAGATTTAGTATTTTCATGACGAATTGACATCAGCTATAATACCAAAACTCTATTTAACCAAATGGATGAGTGAATTTCACATCATACCTGTTATCTTATACCTGATTGATTCGTCCATAAATTATATTTTATCATAAAGTGTTACAGTCTAGATTATCACGGAAAAATCAAAAGAAAATGAACATTTATTCTATCCTAATATGGAACTTTACAATTTTCTCCATTTAGTACTTTATATGAAATCGATAGAATCGTCTTATTTCAAGAAATATATGTTTATTTCGATCAATTTTGCCTCCAATTGAACTAATCATTAATATATTTTAAATACAAATAGTTTGTGATATAATGTAACTACTGAAAATCCCGACCGTAGCTGCTACCTTGATGTGGTGGTCCGGCTTGCCTATCGTGATGACCCAACCGAACTATATTGGCTGGAACACATGTCCATGTAGGTTTTACCATGCCAGGCAGGTCGATTGGAGGACGGTCAGACTAAAATCAGCAACTCAATGTCTGAGGGCAAAGTTATATTGCTGACTGAATAAAGGTATGACAGAAGTAAGGTGTTTCCCTCGGGCGACCAGTATCTGCAGCAATGCTGCCGTCTCTCAAGGAAGGACGGGGTTAAAAAGGTCAACCCTAAAAATATCGTACATCACCTTACCTCACGAATTTCCGTCTCGGGCGGTAAGGCATTTTGAAAAACAGAGCTAAAATTCACACAGAAAGGTCGTACGCTACCGGCCTCAAGCAGTTGTCCCTTGGGATCTGTGGTAACGTTCCTAAATCGTTAAGACCAACACTAATCCAACTTCCTTTTCAGGTTCCTCAAGAAATACCCTTACACGGTGTAGGCAGTCAGGAAGTGACATCACCCTTCATACCCGTAACAGCACACGAACTATTAAAAATGACATTTTCATTCTATTAAATATTTGATCAAAATGTAATTTTTATTCTCTGTATTTAAAAACAATTGAGTAGGAATGTATAGTTGCTTAATTTTTTTAAATTTTTGCTTAGTAACAAAAACAAACAAAAATGTTTGATCAATATATAATATGTATATATACAGTTACTAATTTAGCTCAATTATTAATTTGTATATAAATATTTACATAAAAGTAATTTCAAAATAAACAAAAATATATATCATAGTACAAATTAGTGATAAACTATATCACAATAGTAAATTGTCTTGGATATTCATTTGATACTGAACATTGAACGGAAAATATACGCATGCTGACTGAAAAAAAAACGAATGAAACATTGTAGAATATGATGGATATTTAAAGAAATGTTAAGCAAAATAGTAAGTTCAATAGTTGAGTCAATTGAAGCTAAACAACCATTGGAAACCTGGAAGCACTGGACGACCGTTTCATCCTTGTATGGAACTCCTCAACAGTGCAAACTCACGATCCCATCCCCCACGAGATTCACGCTCGCGCACGAGACTAATAGGTTTGAGGTTCAAATCTCGCGGAACGAGATCGTGAATACGCACTGCTGAGGAGCCCAACAATAGGATGAAACAGCCGTCCAGTGCTTTGAGGTTCTCTATGGTGATCTAGCTTTAATTGACTCATGATTTCAACTATTGAGAATAGAAAGTATTGATTGTGTATTTTTTGTTTTGCGTTACATGTGCACTCAAAATCTAAGAAATCTGGTAGGTGAGTAAAGCATAATCCACCCCCTTATCTTTGACTTATTGACTTATTTCCGATTATGTAACATTGATTTAAGCCTTTATTATTCTTATCAAAACTAGTAAATCTGTCATCACACTATCAATTTGTACTTTTCACTTATTTATATAATCTATCCCACTATTATTTTTCATATATTCAGTAACAGTCAAAAATAATACAACTAACTGATGTGATTAGCCTGACCACGACGTAATAAATTTCCACACGAAAAACCAAACACAATCCAACAGCAATGAACGATCCATAATAAGTAATAATAATTATAAGGATAGGGGAATATTTAACTCATCTGACACCTGTCAGACAATCTACACGTCTGACTAAGCAGACAACCAATCATTATCATTCTCGCCCACACGTGTTCTTGATCTGAGTTGTGTAGAGGTCCTGTAGAATAGACTCTAGAAGGGAATCTAGTGTAGATATTCGTGTGTTCATGTAAACTTGGAAACCCAACCATTATAACATTAGACGAAGTATAATCGAGCGTTATAACACTAACCCTCTAGACATTGACATGACTAATAACTTCTTTTCAACTATATCTATTGATTCTCTGTAACAGACATATCCTTCTTAAAACACATCTTAGACAAATATTCTTATCATTGGTGTTCAAAAATTGTTACCAGTTTTCATTGATCAAATGTGACAAAGTTGACAGCATATATTGAATTTATTATAATGTAATTTATTGGATTTCTATTGAATGGTTTAAAGTCTTGGAGCTCATCACAAATCCTAAAATCCCTGAATTCTATGATCTTTTAAGTTGTGGATTTGCTTCACCATGAAATCTCACATTGAGATGAAACAAATATTCAATACTTTCTAGTTTTCAGTAGCTCTTTGCTAGATTTGAAGCGGTTACGAGTTCACTTAATCTACGAAGGAAACAAAGACTTGTGAACAAAGACCAATAAATTAGCTAATCTATTAAATCCCAACCCCGCTTATTAGAGAGAGAAGTTGAAGTCCGAACGGAAAAGTATATTCCAGAAAAAGCCAGAATCATGAGCGATGACAACAGACACAAATCAAAACGTATATATACAACATAAAACCATCCTTGGGAAGCGTTACTAAATAGCATACTGAAAGACACAACGGACCAATAGGATTTAAGATTTTCCCAAGTGGGAAATACCACATGAAAGTGAAAAGATCGCTTTTAGCGCCAAAACAAAGGAATTCAAATGTTCAAAATAAAATTACAAAATCAGATCCCTTTCCAAGTGAGTTCTATGGATCGAACCTCTCCAAGCCTTTCTGAAATTTTCAACAAACTCAGTATAGTAATCATAAATATAGTATTGCATCATAATTAACTTTATAAAAGTACAAGTATATTCATTAACTATATTCTATTGATTTCTATTCTGTTGATTAGGACGTATAATAATAATTTTATTTTCTGTTCGATTTGTCTTAGTTAATGTAGTTGTCTGTGAACCAATTGCTTCAGTATATGTAGGTGGATAAACTTGATTTACTACTTTAGATGAATTAGTAGTAAATACATTTTCATTTGGTAGTGATTTTGGTAAACTATTCACTTTTATATGTAAACAATTATCATTATGTAATTGTTTATTTTGCATATATTCTACAGCTCTTATAATATCTTTTACATCTGTAATAATACAATTATGAAATCCATCTAAAGAAAAAATTGAACAAAAAAAAATATTATTAGGCAATCAATTTGTATAGACAATTGTCTATCAAAAAATTATATTATGAAAAACTTTGATTGATGTTAGGCCACTATTATAAACCTGGAAGCACTGGATGGCTATTTCGTTGTAGTATGGGTCTCCTCAGTGGTATGCATCCACAATGCCGCTCGCGGGGTTCGAACCCATGACCTAACGATCTCGCGCGCGGATGACATGGGTTTGAATCCCGCGAATGAATTCAACTACTAAATCACTAAAAAAGGTCTCCACAAAACACTTTTCTGATTAGAGTCAGTTATGTTATTTGTTCTCAAAATTGGGAATCGTAGGCAAATTTATAATACATATCCAACTATATTAATATATAATGATAAAGTATTTGTTAATGATGTTTTCATATGCCCTGGTACGGCTGGAAGTGAGGACAGTCAGCCTTTCTACTCGAAATGCTCTCACATGTCCACGTGCATACAACCACTGACAGGGACATCCTACTCACTACCTTCTCACGGGATTATTGATGTTTACGAAATTGAGAGGATGAAAACCGAATATCCGGTGCTTTAATAGGGTTGGTGGATACGAAAAGACAACCTAGGGGAGTTGGAAAACTTTCATTCCAAACCAATGGTGCACATAGAAACCAGAATCCTGAAGGAACAAATGGAGTATGAACTTATTGTGGGTCACCGGCTATTATGGGAATGCATCTCCTGACGTTGCTACACTGCTTAGTGGATCAGACATTTAGATCGAAGGCTTCGTGTGTGCTCCCTTAAGAAAACCTCCAGCTTCGGTTTGGGCACCCGGGCAGTATCACAGCATTCACACAAATCAAGTGACTTATGTGGCTGATATCTATTTGGTGTCTCCTTGTACCAATGTTTATATGTTTAAATAAATAAATAAACCCGTTAATGACAATAAATCTAAGATAATTAAACTTACCATCCCATTAACAATGGGATTTATGTACAATCAACTGAACAGTCCCAAAGACGATGAAACTAGGGACGTAAATTAAACTGCTTGTCTCTTTGTAAAATGTAATCAACTTGTACATACAAACATCATATAAGTATTCATTTAAAGAACCCGTATACAAACAAAGATCAATCATATTTAATCTTGGAAACCACTACCGATTTCAGTCATTTAATCAATATTTAAAGTCTTTTTTGTACTTGCATATTATAAAATACCAGGGAAATAGAATATATTGTTATGTCCCAATAAGCATAATGAATGGTAATTTTGGGATCCATTTATGGACCAATAATATGCGTATACTTTTATCGTATAATTGTTAAATAACTAAACTATTCATATTCATGTCCCGCTTATTATGAGCTTTATTTTGACTCATGAACCATTATTGTACGATTTTCCATTCTTGAATTATGCTCTGCTAATCAATTACTGCCTCCCACACACAGCCACATTTTAGTTAATTATTGTACAAATGTTATTTCCTATTTTATGGTACAATGTTGTCTGTCTGGTTGGTGTATAAACCCTGTATGTTTGAAATAAATGATTCATATCGTAGAGGCTCGGATTGGTATTGTGGACTTAACTGGCTGGGCTAGACGGAAAGCAGGACCAATAAGTACTCTAGACTGCTCTTCGAGGTTTTATACGTCATTAATCCGATCGATAATTCACTGTTCTCTAATTGGTGGTACCATTACGTTCTACACTAACAGGCACACATATCACAAGTCATAACATATATATCTATATCATAATTTGAAGTTTTCCTCTAAGTGTATAGAACATTCGGAGTTATTAATACTAAATAAACGAAAATCAGTTATTTAATAGTTGAATTAATGAGTCAATTAAAGCTAGACTACCATAAAAAATCCGGAAGAACTGGATGGCCCTTTCGTTCTTGTATATGACTCTTCAGCAGTGAACATCTACGATCCTGTTCGCAGAGTTCAAACCCAGGACTTATCGGTCTCTTAAGCAAACGCTTAGGGTTTGGATCCCACAAGCGTAATCATGGATGCGCACGGTTCGCCAGCCCCATACTACAACGAAACAGTCATCCAGTGCTCTCAAGTTTTCAACTATGCTAATCATAGACCAAAATATTGTAATATCAACACAAAACTATCATACATATCCAACTATAATGATCATATATCCATTCATAACAATCAATTTATGTAAACAATTGAACTTACCATTCCATGTTAATGTAAAACCAGAATATTGTTTATGTGTTATTTCATGTAATTTTTTTATTAATTTATTCCAATCCATATTTTTAAATAATGATAATTGTAAACGATAAGTAATTGGAATAGAACATTCTGGATTATAAATAAAAAATTTTATTGCTAACATTGTATTTAGTTGACAATATTTATCACTGTATAAAAACAACAACAACAGCAACAACAAACTTAGTATCAGTAGAGGTTTGATGAAGATTGTAGTTATTTTCATAGTTGAGATCATGAATCAGTGATCTAGTGGTTAAGCGCTCACGTGCTAGACTGATAGATCTTGAATTCGAATCCCACGAGGTGAGATCATAGATGCGTATTCCCAAGGAGGATTCCCATAATAGGATGAAACAGTCATCTAGTGCTTTCATGTTTTCCATGGTAGTCTAGCTTCCATTGACTCATGATCTCAACTATTAAAAAATTAATTAATTAATTATCAAAATAGAATATGATTTTTACTTTTTTCTAAAACTTGACTTATTATTAGAAGTTATGGTAACTAATGATCCAGATAATGGTAATTTCATTGATTTGATAATATAGTTGGATTGGTTAATTACAATAACCTTGAATGAAGGTCAACACTTTCAAACTAAAATTAATAATAATAACCAGGTGAAAATTATAATGTAAATCAACTCCATTATATATATATATATATATATATATATATATATATATATATATATATATATATACATGTGCATATTGATCATGTATTGTTTCCTATTTTTGTCTTTGATACCTTGAATAAATAATTCATATTGTGTGGGTATTTACATATAAATCTTTTTTATTACATAATGTAGATAAACAATTTACTTTTGTAGATTCATTTAATAGATGAGTTTCTTTAGGTATTTCTTTCAACATCTATTTGATTTACAAAAATAAAACCACAAAAAATGTAGGTATGTATGTATGTATGTATGTATTGAATCGATTTGTAACAAGTTAATGCAAACATTCTTTAGTAATAATGTAACTTTTGAATCATTTACCAGTTAAGAGAATCAGAGAATCCCGAATGCTCGAGAGTAGGGAGTGTCAGCTCTATCTATCTCGATCGATCGATCGATCGAAATGCCGTCACATGACCACGTACATATAACCACGGACAGGGACGTCCTATTCAATGCCTTCATGCACAACGGGTGTTGTTTACGAAATTGAGAAGACCAAAAGAGAATGTTTTGTGCTTTAATCGGGTTGGTGGATATAGAGAATTCACCTACGGGAGTTGGAAAACCCTCATTACGAACCAATAGTGCACATGAGCTGGCTCCAGTATCTTGAAGGAACAAATGGTGTATGAATCTATTGTTTGTCACCGGATACCATGGGACTGCATCTTCTTACGTTGCTCCACTGCATTGTGGATCAGACATTTAGATCGAAGCCTCCGTATGTGCCTCCTTAAGAAAACCACCCTTTTCGGTTTGGGCTCCGACACAAATCGAATGATTTATGTGGTGCATATCTCTTTGATGCTTCTTTGTACCAACGTTTATCTGTTAAAATAAATTAAGTGAATAAAACTTAGAAATGATCAAAAATATTTATTTTTATTCTTTTAATTTTAACTGTATCCTATCAATCCATTTGTCTATTTTAGGAGTATCTGTTGAAAGCATATGTAGAACATTTAATATTTTATTCTATTTACCTTTGAGAATACTTTCATCCTTAACTATTTCAAGTATCGATCAGTGATTATGTGCAGATAAGATGGTAGTTGAAAGAAGTCAACAGGAAATCCTCAACCAAGGTTTCGTGCTACTTGAGACTCGTCAGCAAAGTGCATCTGAAATCTTAAGGGGATTGATGCTTCCTGACGGATTCGATCCCGTGTCACCCAGCTGACCTCCTGTAGGATTGAGATGTATTTACAATTGATTGATCACCATCCAATGATAAATCAGTTGTGATTATGACCAATTATGATTGTTAAAATGATAAATTTTTACCTTAAATCACAATAACAAAATAGTTAACATTTTTTGATTAAGTCATTTCGAGAACTATGTATAAGAAGGTATAATCAACTTTAAATTAATACTTCCTACATATATTTACCAACACTTATTATTATGATCAGTAATATAAGTTAAAATATGACCAGTGCAGTTCAAACGGTTTTGTTGTGACATAGTGACTCACCGAAGACAATGGTGGACGATTGCACAATATCGTGTATTGGTTGGAGTTAGACAATAACACTGTTGGATGCCGGCTCAGTGATCTAGATAATGAACGCTCATGCGCGAGACCAAAGTTCCTGGGTTTGAGTTGAGTATGCGGGATTGTGGATACGCACTACTCACCAGTCACACACTACGACGAAACGGTCGTCCAGTGCTTCCAAGGTTTCCATGGTGGTCTAGATTTAATTAATTCATGAATTCAACTATTAAATTACTATAATATCCACAAAAATCCCTTTCTGATAATAACATAGAAATATAAATATATACACCAAAACAAATTGTTAAAATATCGAAATATCTTTTTCTCAAACTGAAATCAGGGAATAAATTTACTCTTGAATACTAAATCTTTAAATCCGGTCTCATCATATCTTAATGGATAATCATTTACATCATAGGAATTACTGCAATAAATATATTTCTTCAGAACCTATTACTATACTTACAAAATATTCAGTAGTAAAACAATATAACTAAAATATAATGAAATAAACTAAGGAAATGGATAAGTTCCAATAAAAATATTCACTTTTACATTATTTCTACAGATAATACTGAAATATTCCTTACAATATAACATCGTTTGCGTTTTACATTTTTCAATAAACATCTCCTCTGTAATATCATCTAGAATACTCTTCTGATTATTGTTAAAGGTGGTTTGTGGAGATTATTGAATTTGACAGTACTTACCCCTTAGATATCCAATGGTTACTATTCCTAGGTTATATTAATCCTCAGTATTGCGTCACCGTTGATGATTAGTTGAATAACACGCAATATTGTTGAGCTCCTTGTATCGATCTCCTACGGTAGAGTCTTAGATATGGTCTACCGTAGAATTCTATACTATGACGAAATAGATGTCCAGTATATAGAAATAAAATTTAAAATCTAAAGTATGAAACAATGTAGAAAAATAATGAGAACTGTGCATGTATGGCATATCAGCCAGTATATGTGATACTTATTTACAAATTAATTATTCGCTTATCAACCTTGACTGTTTTTATGTAATTGTATATGTGTTCACTTCTTATCCCATTCAATCATCACATGTCTGTAACTTATTTTTGTGTGACAATAAATATCGTTTCGCGTTTGGTTAAATCGAGTTGGCTAACACGTCTTCTCTATTGCGCGTCAATTTGATTCTTTTGTTTGTATGGATCAACGATTGTATGAAATACACATAATCGAAATTCATTCTCGTATTTAACTTATTTAGTTCCGTTATATATTAACATGACTTAAATCGATGATTATATATGAGAATTAGTGATATGTATATTTCAATAACAATCATTCATACAATCGACCTAGAGTCAGATACAGGGCCACTAAAACAGTATGTATGTACATATGTTCATCACACTTAATTGGTTTACTAATTAAATTTGAAAAAAGAAAGTTCTTGAAGTAAATGGATGTTTGTGAGAAAAAAGTGGCTTACAAATTTGAAGTAGCACTGAAAGTTTACGTAGATACGTGAGAACAGAACGATTGTATATCATATAATGGACACAAAGTGGACATAATTAGTGTATTCAAGCTAATCGATAGTGGAAATTATAACAATAAGTAGACTAAATAATGACATAAATTCATTTGGTATTGTTTACTTGTATCTTCCCATTGTTAATTAGGACTGCAATTGAGCAGTCTCTTTTTGACATATGTTCATCCTGAGCGGATTGTCTCAATTTTACCTTAAGTCACAAGTGTTTTAAGCAAAAATGGATAGTGGTTAGCAGTGAAATTCAGGACGCATGTTTCATCCTATTTGAGAATTTTTCATCTGAATGTACCTGCATTTCAGATTTGATGTTGACTATCAGGACTCAATAGTTAAATGAATAACGCAATGGCATTTCAAACGAACAGTAAGTGGTTCGAGTCGCAGAGTGCACATCATCTGACGAGTCACACGTAGGACGAAACATTGTAACATATTGTAGTTACTACTGTATGATTTCCATCTCATATGTTAACTTGTTTTAAAGGTTGTAAGTTTCTTAGATAGAAACAAAAAAAGAAAAGAAAAAAAAAAGAAAACCGATTTTAACATACTATCGAATGTTGTTAATTTTAACTGTTTAATTGTTGAAAATTTATTACATAACAAGTTATGCTTATTTATATCTATTAATGGCTCTAAAAATATTTTAAATGTAGTTAGTTAGAGCTGAATTGGTTAAAATAGACATAAACAACTGATTAAATATCTATCTCCAACGTTATATATATATATATATATATATATATATATATATATATATGATAAGTGGTTGGACCTATTCCGCTTGAAAACCTAGATCTTAGTTACGTTTAAGTTGATACTGGTCAGTATAATGTTTCTGGAATCTTGAGGAAACTCCAGCCATTCATATTATTCCAGTCATACAACAAAGAACCATTTAGATTACGTTATGTATATGTGAAGTTAGTTTATGACAAAAAATCAACATAAAGCTATTAAATAATAACTATTAGATTCTCTATAAATGAACGTTGGTATATAATGTTGAAGTGATTGTGATGTTTGTATAAACTAATTATTCCTATGTACTTGTTGAATGATTGATTTCGAATTCCAAATACAATACATTCGTTTGTGATTATCTAGTACTACTTGATTCAATTGAGTTATATACGGGATTATCACAGCAATCTTATTATGTACAACGAAAATCTACAGTGTACATTATCGTTTTTAATGAATTCTCAACTTATCTTAGTTGGTGACAAACGTAATCGTTTAGCTTGAAAGTGTCGATCAATTCAAATGGACAATCATTTGTGATAACTTCACTTTCTGTGTAAAAAAAGGTCAAAGATATTTTATGTCCTGGTAAGAATAATGAATGGTAACTTTTGGGATCCATTTATGGACCAACAATATGCGTATATTTTTATCGTATAATTGTTAAATAACTAAACTATTCATATTCATGTCCCGCTTATTATGAGCTTTATTTTGACTCATGAACCATTATTGTACGATTTTCCATTCTTGAATTATGCTCTGCTAATCAATTACTGCCTCCCACACACAGCCACATTTTAGTTAATTATTGAACAAATGTTATTTCCTATTTTATGGTACAATGTTGTGTGTCTGGTTGGTGTATAAACCCCGTATGTTTGAAATAAATGTATCATATCGTAGAGGCTCAGATTGGTGTTGTGGACTTAACAGGTTGGCTAGGCGGAAAGCATGACCAATAAGTACTCTAGACTGCTCTTCGAGGTTTTATACGTCATTAATCCGATCGATAATTCACTGATCTCTAATTGGCGGTATTATTAGGTTATGCATTAACGGCACACAAGCCACATGTTATAACAAGATATAACTGTATGTATGCACTATTCAACGAAATTATGTCGAACAAATGATGTTGATTCTAATTACCATTATTTGAAT